AATGGACGTCATAAGTGAACGATCCCTAATAAATGTATGATTCCTGAACAAAAATTATGAAATACGTAGCTAAAGAGAAAGAAAAGTAAAAATTTTAAAACAAAAATAGAATTTCGCACTAATTTGAACTTCGACTAACCCTTAAAAATATTTTAATTAATATTGATTTGCATTTTAATTTTACAAAAAAAAATGTAAAATCAGCAGACATTTATTATTTAGGTAGTTTTGTGCTGAATAGGAATTTTAACATCAACAAAAAATATTTTTGTAGTTACGCAAACAGAGACAAACTTTTATGACATTTCAATTAAAAATTCCTAGACTATATTCAGGCTAGCGCTATTTTAACTTCATTAAATTCCATTCACGCATTTTTTCTCTGCTTATTTAATTTTCATTAACTATTTTTATGCTGATGACATAATAAAAATAATGATTATGTTGTGTCGTAGAATGTCCCTAATAATTATCATTTTTTTTCATTCATTAAAGCATAAAAAATTCTTTCATAAACTGCTTTCATGAGTTTTGGATGTTAAAATTCCGAATAAAAAAAATTATTGGAAAATTCATACAAAGGGAAATTTTAAGCTATTCCATATTTATTTATTTTTTTCAATCCCAACTGATGACATGAGAGAAATTGAAAAAAAAAATATAAATTGAAAGAGTTGAGCGAGTCATTTCCGGAATTTCATGCTCCTTCCGTAGCTTGCTCATCTTGTGTCTGTTGTGGATCTGTTTATCTCCTACAATATGGATTTTCAATTTGATGACTAATGGATTTTTATGCTTTATTAAAGAGTATAAAGATTGGTTTTTAAAAACGTATAGAAGGGATGTTTATCCAACAAAAAGATTTAATTTTCAGTCATTTCTCTTTAAAGCATTTAATAATTTTTTTTTCAAAACAAAAGGTGTGTCTGTATTTGCTTCATATTTATCCAATTTGAAAAGTTTCAAAATTATTCCTTCCGGCATACTTAATAGTATAAAGAATGAAACCATAAAAAGCCTATTCAGCTGAACAATGTACAACAAAACAAAACAAAAATATTCAAATAAAATTTTGGACTTTAACTTTACAATCCTCAATGGTCCTATGAAAAGTAAACAATATTTTATGCACATAAGTAATTCAATGATTTTTTTGGAAATTAATCCCAATTGTGTGGCGATTAGTCTCAATATAAATAGCAAAAACCAAAAACTAAATTCTGCAAATTTAATGCGAGTGCGCAAAATGTTTTTGAAAACATGAATAAAATAATCCACACCAAGTTGGATCAGCTGCTTTCGAATCCCTTTAGGAAGTTTATCTTTATTTTCTAACAAAACACGAGGAAAAAATTCAGTTACAAAAAAAAAGTGGTGGAGAAAGTAAACCCCCATGTACATATTTTTCAACAATGGATAGATTATTTGAGCATATTTAAAAGGGAGAATAAAATGCGAGAAAAAATTTATTTGTGGAAACTTGAAAATGTGAAACGCATATTTTAATGTTGCTTCCGCTTTCTTTTTTTTATTATTTTCTATTAACATTATTATTTCGTTCCTCCCTTCTTGCTCGCTCTTTGTGTGCATATTACAAAGAATTTTTTTTTATGTTTTTCTGTAATAAATAAAGTTATATAAACCATTGGATGTGGTAATCGTAACTTGATGCACGAAAAAAAATTGTTGAAAAGAAGTTATCAAAAGATTTATGAAGTATTCTCGTTGAGCGCTTCTAACCTAGTCGCTAGTCATTAGCATTTATTTTTATACGCGTCTATCCAATATAAGAATTATAAGTAGGTCGATGCCGTTAGATTCTAATACTGACATCTATATACTACTTTTTATTCAAAGCATATTTCAGACAAAATGATTCTAATTCCAACAATCAAATTTAGCACAAATAATAAAACCTAAATAAACAGCATTATTTCATGTTATGGTAAAAAGAGATGCTGAGAAAAGTAAATTCTGAAAGTTTTTGATTGCACACGAAAAAAAGCTATTAATATTTCTTTTATTTCGATTTTTTATGTCGTCATTTTTTTTACAGTATCATGTTGTAACCAGAACTTGAGTGCATCTTATTCTACAGAGAATGGAAAGAAACGAAGAAATAATTTATGATTGCTTTGTGGTCATTGATCTGATAAAATAAGAAATAAGTTGGAAATAAGTTTAAATAAAGGTTTATTAATGGTTGATAAGATATTGAATTTAATCTAATATGAGTAATGTGGAGCTCTAATTTTCGAAGCTCTTTTTCCATTTCACCGTTCTAGTTACGAATCTCGGTTCGTGTGTTGGGTGTAGTATTTATAACTTTGGCACAGAATATGCCTCCTTTGCTAAGTATACTAGCATCTGGATGACTTCCTTATAGCATCATGCGCACACAAATTGTGACTAGGTGCATTGCAGTGTTCATCAGGTTTTATGACGTCCTCATGTCTTTGCAAAGTGCAGAGCTCGCTCGGATCTCACTATAAACTGTGGGTCTAAAGGATGTGGTACAATAGATTCTTTACAAATTGAATCGCAGTGCCTCCAGCTGAAATGCTGGGCCCTTCACACATTATTATTGTAGAGCTTACTTTCAATGATTCATATTTGCAAATGATTCACTTTTATATGAAGCTTTATTTTTTTTTAAAAAGTTGAGATAACAAATTTTTTGTGACTATATTTTTAAGTGACTAAGTTGTCGTCATAGACGACGGGGCTAATCTTTATTTGCGTTACGACAATTTCGGAAAAATAAAGGATCAGGAGGAATCAAGCTCTTTAAGAATTTTTTAAGGAGGTGGAGGGGAGAGTTAAGTAAAACGGGTGCAAAACGAGACGTTGGATGTTATAATAAATGAATAATAGTCATATTATGAACTGGTAATAACATATCTGGTCATAAAATATCAAAATATATTTACCCAAATTGCAAATTAGAAATGAATATGATTTAGTTAAAGTCAGACAGTTGAGCAGTAAACAATTTTTAAATTTACAATCATCAAAATAATGAAACGATTAATTACAGCTGCCATACTTTGCTCTTTGATAAAAATTTCGTCATTTTTAAACTTAACTTGTGAATATGGAAATAATAATGATTGGTGGATTGCAGAAAATATATATCAATGCAATGTGAATGGCAATTTTAGTGTTAAAACATCTGAGGAATCGTTAATCATGTCTATTAGTGGAAGTCACTCTACATATCATACAAATAATGATGTCAAAGCAATGGTTGTTCAAAACTTTTCCGTTCATTATTTTCTAACCGGAATGGAAACGTTTTTCAAAAATTTAGAACTGATTGACATTAACCAATGTCAAATTAGAGAAATTCATCAAATACATTTCAAACCGTTTCCAAAGTTACGAGCCATTATACTTTCTGATAATGCTATTGAAGTGCTTCAGAATGGACTTTTCGATTATAACCTGAACCTGGAAATGATTTGGATCTCTTAAAATAAAGTCGTTCATATTGATGTGAATGTTTTTGATTATTTAAACAAATTGACTTATTTGAGTTTTGAATCCAACACTTGCATCAACAAGTCCGTTAAAAACAATTCATCAGGATTAAAAGAAATAATAAAAGAATCAAAAGAGAAATGTCAAGTTCACACAATAAAATCTTTAGTTGAAGGAAACGAGAAGTTAAGAAATCAATTGAATGATTTTAAATATGTAAGTAATGTGTTGGAAGACTATGGAAAGAAAATGTCACATATTAAATCTGAAGTACCTAATTTAGAAAATAAAGTTTGGAACTGAAAATTGGCAAAAACTCAAGAAAAAGTGATTGGATATCTATAAGACTTGGAATTTGCATTATGTTAAATGTTTTTTACACTTTGATTATTGGTTTAAGTATGACTTACTTTTATAGGAACTTGTTTTAGTCTTTTACATTACACTGAGTGGAATTTTAGATTTAACTTAGCTTTAATTAAAATTTTTAATTTTCTAAATCATCAAAAACAAGATAATTTTTAAAAAGCATCAACCTACACATTGTATAGCACTTTAATAAAACAAAATTATTTTATCATGTCATGACGTATTATGTCACTTACCGCTTAAAGCATCCACACATGTGTGTGATAAAAAGCGAAATGAAGAGCGTAAAACAATTTTATCTTATTCTACGCATTTTTATAAAAAAAATATAGCAACAAAGTACATCACACAAGATGTAACAAACTCATTCATGTAATTGCTTGTTGCAAAAATCATGAAATGAGCTTTAGAAAAAAATTTCAAGCACAAAAAACAAAGAAAAACAATATAAAGACAGAAAAGGCAGTAGCACTAATGGCACAAACAGCAAACTTCTCGTCAACATTTAATTTTCGTGTGTAAAATGTTGAAACGATGTCGAGTAGAAGAGTAAATAAATCAATTTAATTACATCATAAACAAGAAAAGGTAAAAGTTTCGTGCCATAAAAAAAGTTTTGATAGCAACATGAATTTTCTGTTTCCGCAGCAGTTGAGGAGGAAAAAAGGATTTTTTATACACACCACTGTATGCGAATATTGTGCGTTACTTAATATTTAAACCATGTTGATGTTGACGTAGTTGTGCTGACGATTTATTACTTTCGGGGTTTTTTTTGCCTCTGAAAAAGCATATGAAAATTAAAGAGAGATAATGAAACGCTGAAAATTTTATAGTCGCATTCTTATGCCAATGCTTTTTATTTTTATTTTTGCAATAAAGATTCTGTAAATTATTTAATTCAATGAATTTTTATAAGTTGATTAAATTTAATGTACGCAGATGTGAATGAGTGGAATCCGAAATTGTTATTAGAATGAAAATATGACTGTCATGAAAATTGTGTGCTTTAGTGCTTGATTTTTCCTGTACGGTTTATGAATTTAGTAGTGAGTTCTACGAGATCTTTTTCAAAATTTTGAGTAAGGTTCTTTACAACATCAGATAAAGATTAATTTATGAAGTAACTTTAAGACTTCTCACTGGATTTCTCAATCAATTTCTAACTTCCTGAATGTTCCCAACATTTCAGTTTCATCAAAATCTTTATCTCCAACTTTTGAGAAGTCAATTTCTATTTTTTTAATAAATTCATTCATGAAATTCGCATTTGCAATGAGCTTTGGTTTAAAGTTTTCAATCAGTTCTGCTGTTGTGAATTTTCCTCCATACTCTTCTGACAAAATAGACACATCAACTTCATTTGGTAGATCCGATATACTATCCATAAACATTAAACGGTTCTTGATTTTTTCTGAAAATGCAAGTTTTGCAATGTTCATTAACTGATTAGCAAAGGTTGGCATTCCAGCGGCAATTATATTCTTCAAACGAATTGGCGATGACTTTAACTGTGTTACGAATTGAAAGAATGATTTGAGTGAAAAGCTTGTGACATAATTTATATTTGCAGCTCTTGCATCACTAATGTAAATTACACCACCAATTTGAGCTTCTTCATCATTGTATAGAGTCGAGAACAGTAAAACAACTAGACGAAAAACGTCATCGGCATTGAATTTCGTCAAATCCATCTCATGATTACACACAATTATTCTGCGACCTTCGGAATCGTGCTCTTTTGAAACAATAATATATCCAGTGTCATACAAGTCAAGTGCACGTTGTAAATTCTCACCATGAAAATTAGACCAGTTCTCGTGACGTTTGATGAATAATAACGTTTTTTCAATTGACTCATAAACTTTGTCCATCGAAAACTTTTTAACACGTAAAAATGGAAGAAAAATTTCCAATGCTAAAATTGAGAAATTTAGTATTAGTTGAAAATCTGCTCAATTAATCTTACATACTTAACATTTCTGGATCAAGAACTGTTATAAATGGATGTTTCAATATCCATTCTTTTACAATCTCGAAAGATTGCAACTTTCTGCTTTCATCTTCTCGCAACTCATTCTTGGCTTTTTTAATAAAGAAATCCGACAGCACTTTACTCATAATTTAACAATATCTACAGAGCTTTTTAGTCTATAAAATTTGTGTCTTGTCTGATCAACAGAAACGAGAGAACTAAAGCAAAATTATTTTAAAACAAATTTTTTATTAAGTTCATTTTAAGCCACTCACCACATGAGCTTTAATTGAATTTATTCATGCAAAATTTAATCAGATTAATTCTCGGCCCAATCTTCATCTCAGACAGAATTAAGTATTGCACTAGCATATTACTCACTTTTTATACTTAGTACCAGGCACGTAGTCAGAGGTTTAAAGAAAATTTTGTGTGGAAATCTATTTCTCCATAAACATAACAAACTAAGGAAGTTTCACTTCTCCCCTGACTAAACCTGTCACCACACATTTTTCGAGTATCGCACAGCTTGAAGATTAAAACTTTTTAATTTTTTCTTCGGTCTCGTGATGTAAAACTTAATATAAAAATCTGATTAAAAATGCATCATACCTCAGCTACGCCAAAATTTAAAAATTTTATTCAACATTATTAAAATTGCTACTTAAATAACAACATTATTTTGCATTAATAATCACCTTATACATCATTACCCGATCAAATAAAATCATAAAAAAAGTCAATGAACTGAAAAAATTATTTAATCAATTTCAAGCTTCCTAAAGCTTCCGATATTCTCATGATAATCTTTCAAAATCTCTGCTTTTGTCATGTCAAGCTCAAAGTCTAAGAATGTTCTTATAGTGTCAATATTTGCTTCAATAATCTTTCTAAATTCTTTCAAGCACTCATCACCATCAAAATCACCACCATAATCCTTCGTCATTACTGATTGATCGACAAAATTGCCAATTTCAGATGCATTATCGACAACATGTAATCTTTGATTCATAACTTCCGAAAGTCCAAGTTTTACGATGTTTAGGAATTGTGTCGCAAATGATGGTAATCCTACCAAACAAATGTTCTTCAATCGTACAGGTGTGACTTTTAATTGGATTGTGAAATCATACATTGATTTTAGTGGATACATAGAAAGATACTTCATTGTTATTCCTTCACTAAAATCATCGATATAAACTATACCGCAAATTTGAGTTTCCTCTTCATTAGCAAGTACTAAAAATACAAGGCAATGAAGACGAAAAACATCATCAGCATTGTATTTCTCCATATCAAGTTTATTGTTTGCGATGACAACACGTCGACCTTCGGAATCTCTATTTTTCATAACTTTGATGAATCCTGTGTCGTAGAGCTCCATAGTTCTATTGAATTTATCTTCCGACCAATCAAACCATTCATCATGAGTACGAACAAAAATTAATGCCTTTTCAAAAGTGTCGCAAACTCGATCCATATTATATTTTCGGGCACGTAAAAATGGAAGAAGAAATGAGTCCTCTAAAAATGCCAAAAAAATCATAATTTTTACAAAGTACGTATTTAAATGATATTAATTCATTTCTATTCCTTCATTAATTTAAGCTATAAGTATGTAAATAAATTTACCAGTTCTGCATGTCTTAATGAATGCATGCTTAGAAATAAAGTCTCTAAGTTGCTCCAATGATTGCTGCTTTCTTATTTCATCCTCACGAATTTCAGTTTTTGCCTTTTCTAATACTTCTGCCGAAATATTGCTCATATTGACTTTTTTATTTTTCTTGATCCGCACTTGTCAACTCAACAGATGTCAACTGAATAATGAGCTAAAGATATTTGCTACTCGACAAAAGAAACCTTTTTGATTGGGATTGTTCTGTCATTTTCTGTAAAGTTGCTTATTACATTTTTCGTGTGATGATGTCCTTGAGTGTCTTGAGTCTTACATATTTTTAATTGAAATGGTCAACATTTGTGATATGTTTATTAGTAGCGTGTTTTTCTTAATTTGAAAAATAATTTCCAACTTCGTTTCGTGTCATATAGCTTTTGTAATAATCAAAGCTATAGAAAACCGCGCTCAGAATTTTTAAAGAAGAATTTATTTACAGCGTAATTAGTACTTCCACCAAACTTTACTTTTGTCGGTTAAAATTATTACGACAATTCTATTAGAAGCTCATACATATCTCATTATTTTGTTAATTTTGTCAATGAGATTCATGAGAAAAAACAATTTCATAATTGCTCTGAGAATTTTTTATATTAAATCTGACAGAAAATTTGAACATTTATCTTTAGACTTAACATTCGACAAAAAGTGATTGTTCATAGCGCTGTTCATTTATTACAATTTAACAAAGATGTTTAATTGCAAGTCTTAGAAACAAGAACTGTTCCAAAAACAAGCTTTAAGCTTGCCTGTTCTTAAAAAATGGAATAAAAAAGTTGCGTAAATTTTATTTGACCTAAAAACCAAAATATCGACATTAGTAAAAGTGTATTGTTTGAACAGTTAAGCCGAGTCACAATAACGACATAAAAAAATCCATAAATCAGATTCAGATCGTAAACCAATTTGTGGAAATAAAAAAATATTGTAAGTAAACAACCCCACAATCAAAAATAAAAAGGAAATACCAATAAGAAAAAAATCATAAAAAAAACTTCGTCTCAACAATAAAAAAATTCTCTTTTTTAAATCCTTTCAAGCCCCCTTTTTTTTGGTGTTAGTGTCGTGCAATCACTGAAACTGAGATTTGATTCCCTTATTATCACTCGAATAAGGAGTAAAATTCCAATTCCTTTTGTAGATCGAAACTGATTTTTAAACGTAAACCCTTTTTCCCTTTTCAACTTCTCATCCCCATTTTATTTCTCTTTTGAATTCATTTGTTTAAGAAGGAAAACTTTTTCCTTATTTTCTTTTTGAAGAAAAGAATTTTATGCCCATAAATATGAATTTACACACACGTGCGTATTTTGGTTTTAAGTCATATGTTGCATGGAGTATGAATTGAAAATTTATTTAACGAGTTTGAGGGCACGAAATGGTTAATAAAATGCAATTTCATTTTTATTTCATCGATTTTTTTGGGCAATTAGTGGTACGATGATTTGAACCAAAAAGGTGAATTTCTTGATATTGTTTGAAGTATTTTCGACAACTTTTTAAATGCTCAACTAAGTTTTTTACCCCACAAAGCTGATAAATAGTTTCTATGAACACCCCAATTACATCTAAACAAATATGCCCTCAAATACTTCTCATGTCTTAAATGAGGGTACATCCTCATTTTCAGCATGTCTATAAAAAAGTTTTCATGTCCATTTGTTATATCACATCCCCTATAGACTTATTCGAATGTTACTCGAGGTCATATTTTTTATGTAATAAAATGAGATTCCTATTGAGAAAACGGAAGTGATCGGCTTCAAAGTTTTCAATCTGATTTTCCTTAAGTTAAAACAAAAAAGAAATAAAAAATTAAATTTTTTCTTTTAAAAGATTCTTCTTTTACAACTCGTAACGAGATTCGGAAAAGGCAACAAAAAATAAACTTTGACTTTTGAACTTTAAAGAGATATTGATACAACAATTGACATTGATACATGCTCAAATATGTACATTTATATAAATAAAAAATCATGAATTATAAATTGTTCAAAAATAAGTGAAAAAAAATCGATGCTCTATATGTGCCTGATACTTCCTATTCCTCTTTTATACAGACACAACTTCCTCATTCATTTCCTCTTAAAAGCATACAAGAGAGCTTCTTGAGAAATTCGATTTAAATTTTTGAGGAGATTTTTTTTTTTTCATTCAAAATGGTTTTTTTACTCTTTTATTGAATGAGCATTGAAAGGATTGAAGTAAGGCAAAAAAATCTTTTAGGGAAGCTCAAAGTGCTATGAATCGGAAAGAGATTCAAATGGGAAAAAGTTAGTGAGAAGAAAATAAAAGTTTTATTTGGGCATCAAATATCAACAAAGATTTGGTAGACTTTCGTACCTTAATGTCATGGAGATATTCATTACGTATGTGGGCGATGTTTGGATACTACTAAAGGTTTTTCTTAGTATTTTGTTAATAGACTACATAGACGACCGAAAAAGTGTCGACGGTGATGACTTTTTACAAGCATATTTCTCTTGTGCTTTACTAGCATCAAAATCATACGGCCTGTTTCACTAAAATGGATTATTCTTGATTTCGAATTATTCACGGATAGATCACACATTAGATCTCTTAATAACCTTAAGCGTCTGGAGATATTTCCAAAAATCTGAAGTGGATAATCCGAAATCGAGGATAATCCTATTTAATGAAACAGGCCGATAGGTTCTAGCTTTGAATGGTCTGGCTATCTCCAACTCGTTAAAATACCACTAATCTGTCATTGGATTTTATGCTTTTAATGCTCAATTGTATCAGTCTTTTTGGATACACACCTGTTGTGCTTTAAAATTCTCAAAATAAGAAAGTCCTTAAAAATTTAAAGAACATTTGACTCAATGAAACAAAAATTTTCCTATTATTTCTTATTCTATCTCTCATTTGAACAGAGTAACCCCATTTCACTCCAGCTCAGTAATTCCCATGTATTCTTATTTAAATATTTTCCTTAAATTGCGGAATAAATTCTAAATCCTTTCTCTTTTCCTACATCTTTTCCTTATCAATTCACTTCAGTAAGTTGAAAGAATTTCTTTTCATTGCCTTTAAAATTTCTTCCTTCCTTATTTTTTTCACTACAATATTTCTCATTTATTCCATTTCGTTTTATAAGGAAGCTAAATCGATGAGAGACAGCAAATTCTTAAAAAGCATTCAAGTGATGCAATTATTCTTACATTTTTCAAATTGCTAAAGGAAGTAAAAGGGTTTTTCGCCCTTTTGTTTGTTCGGTAATAAGAGATCGAATGAGATTTTTTTTATTATTATTTGAAAAGATTTAAGGAGATATTGTCGATTGCGGTTTCACAAGAGAAATGCGATAAAAATACTTGTAAGAAGTAGAAGAAGTAGGTTTAACGAGGTTTAAGATTTATTGAAACAGGAAATGCTGATGAAGAAGATTGCAAGAGAATTAATGCAATGAATTTAAACTTTTCAAATTAATCTGGTTGATCAATTGAATTTTTTATCATCTTAGTTTCTAGTGTTGTACGGTGAGCTTTTTGAGTATTTTTCTTAAGGATGTCTAGCATTCAGAGGATGGAGAGACCAAAGGGGTCTTAAATTTTTGATAACAGAGGCTAAGGAGAGGAATCATAATTTTCAAATTTAATGGATATTGTAAATGAAATCCTTAAACTAAAGCAAAACTAAGCTTAACTTGGCAATGATCTTCTAGGGAGTTAACTTTTGAAATCATTCCCATCTATGCCTCTAAAAGGGACTACCACTAACCCATACTTCCTCATGTGGTGCTTGTGTACTAATGCTGAACTTTTAAAGAATAATTTTATTAACAGAGAATTAAAACATTGATTTTTTAATTAACTCATTATAAACTTCCAAGGTCGTATCTTTAAGCTTGTAAATTCCATCAAGCATATTAAATCCATCCTTATTAAAGTAAATGTATACATAATTATCTTCGTGTATCACGAATGCATGTTTATTCTACTTAAACTGTTTTCTTCCCTTACATCTTATTTATTTTCTCATTTTTGCATCCTCTGCTCGTTCTATAAACTCAGTGAGATGTTTTTTCTTCTATTTTCCTTCTGTATAGACATAAGGAGATTATAGTTGTTGAGGAGATTAATGGAAGATTAAAAGCAAAAAAGTTTTTAATAAAAAATGAAGGAAGAAATGCTTTTGCAGAGATAGGAATCGTCTTGGTAGAAAAATAATCGTTTGAATGTCTTTCGAAATGGAAATTTTTGCGCAAAATTGCACCAAATAAAAAATGGAAAATGATAAAAATTTAGAAAAATAAAATTCTAAATCAAAAAATGTGAGAAAGCTCCAAAGATGTGCATACAAAGTTGAGTTGAAATTTATTTTTATTTTTCTTTTGAAATGGAACCTTTCACTTAACATAGACATCATCATTCATATAAAAAACGCTGGCATAAACCCGAGCAATCCGGAATGCAAGGGATGCAAATATAAATTTTTTGGAGGCAAATCAAAAAATTTCTAATATGTTGCCCAAGACTGACTTATTATATCCTTAGCATCTCGGGAATGGAATTTCAATTTAATATTCAAATGTGAAACTCGACTGATTTTTCTTGCAAAACCAAACATAAATTCATTTTATGATTTCTTTTCTCGTTAAGTTGCTTCCTCCTCTTTATTCAGTCAGGAGTCTAAAATACACATATAGACACTGACATAAATTTCATCACAAATGGATCAAATTGAAAAGGCTTTTTTCTTCCTTTACTTTATTGCGAATTGAGAATTTACGACTTTCAGTCTTCTCTGACATTCCATTATCATTCAAGTACCATGCATCAAAGCCGAGACAGTTCTCTATTCGCTGTGCAACAAAGGGTTCAATATAAAAAGAGCTGAAAGTGGAAAATAAATGGAATATGAAATGAATTTTCACTTTCGAATTCCGTGAAGGCGGAAAAGCTTTTTTGGTTCAATAAAAAAATTTAAGAAGATTTTTTTTGCAGCACTTTTAAAGGGTAGATGCCATCCAAAATTTTTTTTATAGGAATATGAAATTAAATCGGGAGGAATTAAATTGAAAAAAAAAATCTTTTGTTATTTTCAATCAGACCGAGACAAGGAAGGGTTGAATTGAAGAATTAAGCAAAAAAAACTTTATAAACATTTTAAAGACCTAAAAGTTTGGGATGTGGTTATGCCTTTAATAACTTCAATTGTACCTAAGCGAAACATAACATTTAAGAA